CCCAACTTTGGGTCAAATATGGACTAACCCAACTTTTGGGTTAAAAATGTAATTAAAAAATTTAACCCAATGGTTGGGTTAGTCCATATTTGACCCAAAGTTGGGTTGAAACAACCCAGCATTTTTTAGAGTGTGTATATATACTGTATATACTGTATATATATAATATATATATTATTTTATGCTAATAAATAAATAAATAAATGGATCTCAGTATGAACTTTTTTGTCCTTAATTGTAACTATTTTATTTTATGTATAAAATAGATTTATAAATGGAAATAACAACAAAATATTAAAATTCCAATAAAAACGCACATTTTTGGAAAAAAATATGCTGTTTGCATTAACACAGCCATGTGTTAATGTCATTTTTTTTTTTCTTTTTTCTTTTTTTTTGAAAAAACAAGGCATAATGGTTAACACGGATGTATTTTCATCACATCTTCCTCTTCCAAACTAGACAATGCCTGTCTTCATCATGCAAGCCAGTTTATTGGCCAGCATACTCCAGACTGACTCATTTGAAATGGGCCGTGAGGTTTACATTAGGGAAGACACCTTTACACAGAGGAGAGGAGACAAAAAATACAGCAGCAATGTCCATTAGCCAACCTATCAATCATTTCCCACTGGGATCCTCTTCAAACTGCTTTATTTATAACTCCTTCTGAGGCAGAGTTAAGAATGGATGAGCGCTTACGGAGAGCGAGCTGTGAGGATGCCATTTACATTTGTGACCATTAGGATTCACAAGATAACAGAGCCATTCCATGTGTGAGAACAGCCTTTCTGAGAAATTAAGATGAGTTGTAAATCACAAGGACAGGTTACTTCACGAGTGTTGATATTTTGCTCAGGTGAATATGTTTTCCTCAAATGTAAACTCAAATGAGAGGCAGCAGATAAGAGTGGCTAATGAAATTCCTCTGTGGAATAACAGATAAGTGGAGCATACAGCCGCGCACACAGAAACCTGTTCTGTCTGCCATTAGTCTGCCGGTTAGTCCAATTAGAAAAAGACAAAAGATGATCATAGTGCTTTATAAAAGCTGAT